TATCTTTCTTTCTTTCATACGCACGCACGCGCGCGCACACACACACACACACACACACACACACACACACACACACACACACACACACACACACACACACACACACATACACGCGCGCGCGCCGCACACACACAGAGACACACGCACACACACACACATAGACACACACACCAAGAAACATACATACGTACATGTACACACTACCCCAGAACAAACAAACGAAGAAAAGAACAGCAAACAACTGCACCAACGATAACAGAGCTGATACACTGAGACCTTGTTTGGCATCTTTGATAAGACATTTTATCCTTTTTTTTTAAACTAGAAAAATCCAAATAAAACTAAGGCGTTCTGTAATAGAATACGCACCATAATTTGTGATGTTATGATATAGTTTTATGACTTCAAAGCTTTCACTGGCTGATTGGTGATAAACTACCCCTAAGGAAAATTACGGCATCTTTATTACACAAACTATCATATAATAAAAATTGTAAGGCTATACAAGTATAGGAATAATTAGAAATGAAAGCTGGTATACCTGTGTATTCGCATTACTAACTAGCAGGAATCCTAGTGCTCCTAGACAAGAAATGTGGCCATGGCCAACCCCATATACACTGCAGGAGAAGTTGTTGGGGCCAACAGAAAATTGAGCAGGATGGCCCGGTATTTATGACAAATACCGGACTTCAGGTGTGGTGCGATCGAGATGAAGAAGAAGGAGAAGATGACTGACAGATCTAGCGACCAAAGTAGGCTATTCCTGACTGAACATATTTAGGCTGAATTTCCCACTCTTTTTGGACAAGCTCACTTGGGAGACCTCTGAACAGATTACTACTGGTCCCATCAGTATGAAAACTAAGTAGCTGTAAAATGTCATGTCTTCTCTCCCTTTTTTTAAAAACAAAAATCGTCTAGGTAGCATAGTTTTGAAATGTTTAAGAAAATAAAATTGTCAACAAAATTCAAGATGGCCGCCGTTTCCAATTTAACCGAGGAATTTATGAATTGTTTGAAGGTGTAGATTTTCAATCCTCCACAGACATATCAACATATACCAATACAAGCTTTACAGGTTCTGTGGTTAAAAAGTTAGTTTTCAAGGTAGCGATACCCTTAACTATGGAAGAATAATAACTGTTATTACAACCTTGACTTTAGTTTGAAATGACAATGATTTTGTGGACAGACGTAAACTTCATCAGCTAGAATGTAAGATGGTCCAACTGTCTAAAGTTGTTAATATTAATCACCCTACTTTACCATCACAAATAATGAAAGATTCTCAAATACTAGAAAATGTGTTTTCTATACAATTGCAAAGTGTCACCTCTGTATCCATTGACTTAAACGTATTGATGCATGTAATTCACCACCCTCTTCCCCGAATACACACACACACACACACACACACACACACACACACACACATACACATACACACACGTACACACACACACGTACACACACACATACACACACGCACATACGCGCGCACACACACACACAAACGCACACACACACAAAGATATATACACCCATACCCAAC